CACCAGTTTTCCTATACTGCGAAGCAATCCACTTGACCCACTTAATTTCCCAGGACCAAATCCAGCAATGCTTCATCAGGCCAGAAACATAGTAATCTAAAAAATTCTTCTGAACATACTACAGAAATTCTTTCCCCATTCAGAGAGTTTCTGCACAACACAAACAGAAATTGCTAGAGAAATTCATCAAGTTTAATTAGGTCACTAGACCTGAAACTTTAACTCTGCTTTCTCTCCACAGATGCTGCCAGACCTGCTGAGTTTCTCCAGCAATTTCCGTTTTTGTTTCGGATTTCCAGTATCTGCAATACTTTATTTTTTTTGAGAACTTGGTTTCAGATCTATTTCAGCTTTCCAGAGCCTGCAGTGGTTTGCTTTTGTGTTGTATTGTTTCCTTGATATAAGATGGGGATAGGGTGTAAGAAAGGAAAACTGTCTGCAAACAAATGTGATGTGAAATATTAAATGGTTAATCAATAAGTGTTGGTTTTGCCTTTGATATATTGCTATTAATGTTTATGTTAATGTATATTAATACCTATCAATACTGCCAGACCTCCTTTCATTGCTTGCCTATCTTTCTTGTTCACCTTGTATCCAGGAATACTTAGCACCCAGACCTGCCCTTTCTTGAACAAGGTCTCTGTTATTGTTGCAGCATTTTCTATCCTCACGTGCAGCTCACCTACCATATAGACACGTTAAATTTAGACCATATTGTATTGCCTCCTTCTCTGAATGGGGATGTGAAATATTAAATGGTTAATCAATAAGAGTTGGTCTTGCCTTTGATATATTGCTATTAATGTTTAAAACTGATTGGTAAAATAATTTGTGACATTATAAAGCATTTTTTCACCTCTGTAGTTTTTTTAAAAAAATCAGTATTATTAGGGAACACAGCTGATGATGTTTAAACTGTTAACGAATAGAATTCTATTAGCTTAAATAGGTGCCTTTGTAAAATTATTACATCCCTACTCTGAACCCACCTAATGCCTTGTTGTTTCTTACACTAGTCCAAACTCCCCCCCCCGCCCAGTCCTTTGTGCAACTTGTTCTTTCTTCCTAATATTCCATCCTAGTTCCTATCCCTTACCAAATTGATTTGAATCCTCTCCGATTATGTTAGCAAACTGTCCCACAAGGACAAGGTCACAGCCATGTTGAATTACAACCCATTCAAATGAAGTCTCAACTCCCCAAGAACTATTTGCAATGTCCCAAGAATCTACAGTCCTCTAGCACATCTCTTCAGTCGCATATTCATCTGTTCAATATTTGATTTCTGAAACCACTTGTATTCTGTGGTACAAACATTTTTTGAGTTGATGAGTACTGTGAAAAAGAATCATAACGCATGGGATTTGGGTAAATTTAGTAAATTCTGGATCATAAGTTTTTTTTTGAAAACTTGAGAAATATGATGGCAGAAACGCTGTTGTTACCCTGACTGAGCTATCAATCACATGTTTTAATGAACCTCTGTATATGAGATGCTACTATTAACAAAACTATGTGGAAGCTTTGTACAGTATTATATCATTTTTAATTGCATAATGATGTATACAGTATTTGTTAAATTACTATTAAATATTTGCTATTTGAAAATATGCTTTTAATGGATTAAACTATTAAAATGTTCATGGTTTCTTCCCTTTTATATTCCTTGATTTACCTCTAATTGCTTTATTTGCTGGCTGTAAGGTTGTTGTATTAAATGAGAGTAAGAAGTCATAACAGGACAAAGTTGGCTCTAATATGGTGCTGAATTCAATCAGTAATCACAGGAGTAGCTAGTCTGGGAAATAAAAACTGTCACACACTTGGTCAGGGAGCTATTCTGAAGTTAAAGCTGACACATTATGTGAACCCAGTTGAAGGACAATAAATACCATGCATCCTGTTGGGAATACATACCTATATTTAAAGACTGGAGAAACTGCAAGATGTTGGATTACTTGGACATTCTCTGGATTGAGAAAGGTTACCATGTGATTTCTTGGAAATGAAGCCAACAGTTAAGTGTACACTATGCCACCAATCAAGTGACTTTGGAGAAATTTCTAAGCAAAGTTTGCAAGGAGATAAGAGATGATGTTTATTGACCTACTTACTGACAAAAACCATGCTTTGAGAGGACTGGGGGCCCTATGCTAATAATCGTCTAGCAATCCTTCCCTGGTCTTAGAATTCAGTTCTGCAGACCCAAAAGATACCCCGGAAACTGTGGTGTCTCTCCTGAAATTCCGTTTGTTTAACAATATTTAGAAATATATGGAGAGTATCAATAACAATTCCTTGTGATCAGGTTTAAATGAGATGTCCGTGTTAGTTGTGAGTTTGCAGATGGTGTATGAGTCTTTTCTTAATCTTACAGGGTCTCCAACAGTGAGGACATTAGTTGTTGGACAGTATACTTAGGATAACTGTGGATTGAAGGGTGATCATGTTATTCTTTTGTCCTCCTTTATTTGCAGATAGCTAAGACAGCTTTAACCATGCTATTTTACTTTTGTGAGCAGTGAGAAGAGAACGACTGGCTGATGGATTTTGAGCTTACTATCAGGTCTGAAATTACAAAGAGCTAGCGCATTAAATTAATGCCAACACTACTTCAATGCCAATACTTTGGATTACATAGCTCCTATGACGTGTGAAGTGTCATTTTCCAATACTTTACCATGAATCTTAATCGAAGACTTTGGATTTGATACATCTGTTTTGTTTAGTAGAAGGCTTTGGTTTTCCTAATGTTCCAGCTAAGTCCCACGCTCTTGTCGGCTTCAGTGAGTATGTCAAAAGTCTTTTGTCGTTCTTCAGAGTGAGTGTTAACTTGTGTCGTAGCATACTGTGGTTCTTTCTTGGTTTTGGCCTTAACTTCTTCAACCCCAACTGGCTTATCAGTGAAATAAGTAACTGTAACATTTCGAGGCAGTCTATCAGTGGTAAGTTGTAGCATTGTTGCAAGAAAGCTAAAGAACAATACCGGTAAAATGCTACACCTGTGTTTGATGTTTATTTTGACAGGTAAGGGCCCTATTGTGGAGCTACTACGTATATTGTTGTATAGTGAATCAATGATGTTTGTGAAATTAGTTGGGCATAATTATCACTATAGCACTTTTCAAAGAGCATTTCAATTTATTGAATCAAAAACTTTTGTGAGATCAAAAAATAACATACGAAGGGTTGTTGTCTCTGCCCTTTTCCTGAATTCAGTGTGCAATGAGATCATGTTGACTGTCCCTCTGGGGGGTTGGAAGTCACATTGCATCCCTGGAAAGACATTCTCTGCAATTGGTAACAGGCAATTAAAAAGTAACTTAGCTGGGACTTTACACATTCCAAACTCAAATTTACTACAGTTTAAGTTGTCTTTATTTTTGAAGGTTTATTATTATCATGGCATCTCCAAGAGCACCTTGGAATGTTTTCACTCTGCCAGATGTAACAGATTGAGTACAACAACAAATAAAGAGAGCTTTTGACCTGATGGGGATGGGGATTGAATCAAAAGTCTAGGAGAGCCAAATAGAGGAGCAGCAAAGAGCATGAGCACAAGGGAGCAGTTACCTTTACTGAATTACTCTCAAATATGGTCGACAGAAGTTAGCCTCAATACCCTGGATGATCTCCGTGGACCCAGAGGAGCTTGTAAGACTGCTGGCGTAGGACATAGAAGCCTTAAGAGTGCCACTATACCAGCGATGATTTGATCTCATCTTCTGATGACCAACATCAACTTGGGTCTCAAATAGTGGACAGATTGCATCTGACCTCATTAAACATGATGAGTTTCTGCACAACACAAACAGAAATTGCTAGAGAAATTCATCAGGTTTAATTAGGTCACTAAACCTGAAAACTTTAACACTTTCTCTCCACAGATGCTGCCAGACCTGCTGAGTTTCTCCAGCAATTTCTGTTTTTGTTTTGAATTTCCAGTATCTGCAATGTTTTTTTTTGAGAACTTGGTTTCAGATCTATTTCAGCTTTCCAGACCCTGCAGTGGTTTGCTTTTGTGTTGTATGGTTTCCTCCATACAAGATGGGGATAGGGTGGAAGAAAGGAAAACTGTCTGCAAACAAATGCAATTTATTTGGCAATTTAACAAACTGCTCAGTAGCCTCCCCAGTTTCAAAACTGGAAACCTCTCAGAGACAACAAGGTGCAGGGCTGGATGAACACAGCAGGCCGAGCAGAGAGGCTGACGTTTCGGGCCTAGACCCTTCATAACCAATGATCTGTTTGAATAGTGAAGCTGTTTGGGCCAAACAGGCATCAATATTCTCGGTTTGAATACAAGGTCAAAGCATTTGTAAAAAAAAACAGACAGAAATCACTGATAACTGAAGAGCGGTCCACCAGTGGTTCTTCGCAGCTTCTCCTCAGTTAATGGACGCCATTGGAAGATTGTTGAAGCTAACACGTTTCAAGAATCTGTTCCCCCCCCCCGTTTCATCAATTACTGAACTTTGATATTGAATGCATTTTGTGCAGTTTTTTTCGATGCTCTAAAATAAAAATTAACATTGTCTTGGAAAACAAGACACCAACCGTGCATCTCAGCTCTTCTCCTGCAGTCCGCCCTCATTCATTCACAACTTCAAATCCGCACCCATTCTGGACTGGCCCTTTAACCCGACGGAGGGAAGGTCACCTGAGGTTAACCGGCCCCACCCTGTTCATACGCTCCAAAAAACAGCGAATTGATATCGAGAACACGGCGCAGGCTGAACCTTATAAATTGTCACCTTCTCCTGTGTTTTTCTTTACACGAGGTAGGGACGGGATCAGACTGTCTTGCAAGGTTCCCCCCCCACCCCCCGAACTTTGGTGGTGTGGACTGGTCCGGAGTGCCCCGCCCCCAACGGCGGTTGCGGCGGTTAGTGGGAAATGGAATGGGGGCGCGTGGAGGATTAACGGCCAGCGCGAGCTCAGTGGGGATTGGGGAGAGGGGGATGTACATCTAGGGGTACAGCAATTTAGGACAGGGACAGGTTGAAGGATTGGGGATAGGGAATGGACTCCCAGGAAAAGGGATTGCAAACATCCCAACGGCCAGAGAATGATGTGGGCGTTTATTTTTCTGGAGCACGATGGGAAATAAAGGGGTTTGTAATCCTAGAGCTCCTTCCGTGACTTTCTTCTCAAAACTCTGTTTTTCACAGCAAGGGAAACAGTTGCATTTGCTGTGGTAGTGTTGGAAATGCAGCTGCCAGTTTATGCGTGGGAAGAGCCTGTCACTGGTGATGAGGGGGCTCAAAACAAAAACCCAGAAATGGTTGCAAAAGGCTATCAGGTCTTGGCAGGATCTGTGGAAAGAGTTAACGTTCTGGGGGGTGTGACCCTTCCTCAGAACTGGTAATGAGTGACTCATCTGGCTTTAGTGGTGTTCATTGAGCACAGCCATGAGCTGAAGACTGGCACCTGTGTTGGTGAGGATCTTGGACTTGGCATCTCTAGCTGAAGATGGCAGCAAATGTTTCTGTCTTTTGCATTCTGGTGCTGTGACCTTCAACTGAAACAAAGATGTTTATGGAACCACCACCTCTAGTTTAACTGACTATCGTCAACCTGTACTGTTCTGCCCTTGGAATTTTTGGTTTTTTTTGCTCTGGTCCTGTGTTGTACCATCAAGATTTTAGACATGCCTTATGCTGCTCCTAGTTGTACTCCTACACTTTGAAGAATTGATCCTCTGGTTTGATGGCAATGGTTTAATGAGGAATGTGTTAGGCCAGAAGGTTACAGATTTTCATGGAATACAATTCTATGCTGCTGATGGATGCCCAGTTTTCAGCTGCTCAATGTGTTCTGAATCTTTCTGATTTAGGATGATGGCTGTGCTGCACATCATGCTGGATGCCAATCAGCATAAGGCTGAAATGCTCTTGCTACAGAGAAGACATGGTGGTCACTACTACTAATACAGTCATGGATAGACTCACTTGTGACAGATTGATGAGGATAAGGTCAAATAAATTTCTCCTTCAACTTCTTTTTAATTCCTGCTGCAGGCCTAGTCTGGCAGATATGCCCTTTGGAATTTGATCAGTTACAGTGGTACAGAGCCACCCTTGGTAATAGGCATTGAAGTTCCAGATTTAGAATATGTTTTGTCTTTGCCCTCTTTCTTCAAAGTAGTGATAAATATAGGGAGGACTGATTAATAATCTGAATGCAGTAGGTGATAAACAATGAAATTCTCTTATCCATGTTTGACTTGAAATCATAGAATGGCCTGAATTTGGAAGAGATATTGATAATTCCCAATGGTATATAAGAATTGAATAAACTAATTGGACTGCCAAGTCTACGCTACGTTTAAAAAGTTTATGGCTGATCTACCTCAATATCATTTTCTTGCATTATTTCTATTATCACTTAATTCCCTCATTATCTCTGGGGAGGCGATGGCCTAGTGGTATTATTGCTGGACTGTTAATCCAGAGACCCACATGATGTTCTGGGGACCCGGGTTTGAATATGGCCATGGCAGATGATGAAATTTTTGAATTTAGTAAAAATCTGGGATTGAGTCTAATGTTGATTGTCAGGAAAAACCCATCTGATTCTCTAATATCCTTCAGTGAAGGAAACAGCCATCCTTACCTCGTCTGGCCTACGTGTGACTCCAGACTCTCAGCAATGTGGTTGACTCTTAACTGTCCTCTGGGCAATTAAAGCTGAGCAATAAATGCTGGCCTAACTAGTGACAACCTCATCCTATGAATGAATAATTTTAAATCTATTAATTACTGGAAGCAGTGAATATATTCAATGTTTGAGCATCTTGGATATAGAATTCCAAAGATTTGCAAACCTCTGAAAAAATTTTTTTTTTCATCGGGGATCTTGGGCCTCATAAGTAGAGGTATTAAATATAAAACTAAGGAAGTTATTGCTGAATTTTTATAAAGTTCTGGTTAGGCCATGGCAGAAATATTGCATCCCGTTCTGATCACCACATTTTGAGAAGAAACCACTCCTTAAGGTTGTAAAGGAGCACCATCAGAATGGTTGCAGGGTTGGAGGACTTTAGTTACAAGGTTAGGTTGAAAAAGCTGGGGTTGCTCTCTGGGGCTCAAAGGAGATTGAGGAGAGATTTCATAGAATTGTACAAGATTGTCACAGAGCAATTATTCCCATTACATGGTGCTGTAAGGACCAAGGGTCATAGGCTTATGACCCTTAGCCCATAAGCATAGGCTTAAGCAAGAAATGTACTGGAATGTGAGGAAGAACTAGTTTGCACAGAGTGGTCATGATCTGAAATGTGCTGCTCACACGGGTAGTGGAAATGGAAACGGACTTAAAAAAAGAAATTGGCTGGTTATGTGAAAATAAATAAATATACAGGAGTATGGAAACTGAGTGAGTGAGCGAGACTCTCTGAAATGCTTCACGGAGAGCTGGTGTGAAATGAATTGGCAGAATGGCCATCTCCTCTGCCTTAAAACACTTAGACATATCCTAAATGGTTCCTCCTTATTCTGAGATTCATCCTGTGTTCTAGCTTTCCCCAGCTAGGGTAAACTTATTTTCTCAACATCTAAAAAAAAACCAAAAGAACTGCGGATGCTGGAAATCAGGAACAAAAACAAAGTTGCTGGAAAAGCTCAGCAGGTCTGGCAGCATCTGTGGAGGAGAAAACAGAGTTAACGTTTCAACATCTACCCTGCCCTAAAAAAATTGTGCTTCAAGTAGTTCCTGTCTAATGCTTTAGAGTTTAGAAGTGGGTAGCCCTGGCCTACTCCATCTGTCCTCATAGGACAAACTCCTCATCCCAGGAATATGGAGCATTGAAAGTAATATCCTGTATGAACAAAAATTGTATTGCTTGACAAGTAGTAGATTTCCTGGTTTTGGCACAAGTCCTGAAATGTGTACCTTTTATTAGATTTGTCTGATGGCTAGATTGAAGTTGTGCCCAACTTGGGTTTTTTCATATCTGTTTAATGCAATTGAATGGCTTGCTAGACCATTTCACGGGCAGTTAAGAGTCAACCACGTTACTGTGGATGTAGAGTAACCTAAAGACTAGATTGGGTAAAGGCAATGGATTCATTTCCTTTAAAAGGCATTAGTGAGTCACTTTTTTCTTTGTCACCATTACTGATGCTAGCTTTTTAAATTTGATTTGTTTCAAATTTCCTAGCTTGCGATAGAATTTGAACTTGTCTCTCAATCATTACTTTAGGCTTCTTGGTTACTAATCCAGTATCACATGAAAAGTTTTATATATTCAAGTGATAGGATCTGTATGCTTAATGACCATTTTTTTGTTTACTATAGCTGCAGCAGTAATGGAGTCAAGCAATCAAAAGCAAAAGGTGAAGTTTAGTTTTGATGCTGACTTTATTGAATCTCCAAGTAAATACAGGAAATATGCAACAGAGATGCTGCATTGTTCACATTGGATGCAGGCACGACAAAACAGTAATGGTTCTATGATGGATCATGTAGACAGCTTCCAGAAAATCACAAAGAAATGGGGCCAGCCTTTAGCAGTATTGAACAAGTGAATTCCACACCAGAAACTCCTGGTGTTGTCTTTTCTCATTCGCAAGACTTCAATTTCAACTGCACAAATCAATGGAAAAAGAGAATTTCATTTTGGAATACTCTGTTTGCTGACAAAAATCATGATCAAAAGAGATCAACATCAAGATTGCCACAGCTAGACCATGCTGATGATGTATAATGTCTCAATATGTTCTAATATTATGAAAACAACTTCCTATAAATTACCAACTATCTCACTTTTTAGATATGTGACTAAAGCAATAGCTTTTTGTTTTTTGCACCTTTACTGCTAACGGTCACAATTTTGTTGTCAAAGCATGTTGATGTATGGCAGAAAAGGAAAACAAAAGTCCAAAATCCCTCCCACTGCCACCACCACTTTTTTTCACTTTCTCCACCCCCCAACCTGTGGTTAACATAAGCAACTAATCTGTTCTGTGAAGCAGAGTTTCAGAAATTGAAATATGTGCTATGGGCTCTGGAAAAGGATGCTTTGTTTCCATAAAAACCTGCAGTCACAAAATGTATTATTGTAACTTGGTTTACCTAGTCTGTGGTTTTATTTTAACATTGCCTGGCTTTGCCTGCTACTTCAGCTAATTTGCTGCTGAAACCCTCATTTGTATTTTTGTTACCTGTAGCCTGATTGTTCTAGTGTGCTTGGCACTCCTCTATGTTGCACACTACTTGGAATAAGCATTGAGTGACGAGAGTGCAGAATGCACTCTCTTTGGGGGAAATTCAGCACTGTCCAAGTGTGTTTCAGTGATTCCTTTGCTGATAGAACTAGCAGACTCCTGAAGACTAGATCAGGTTTGTGGCAGGTGATGAGAACCAACAAAAGAATGGAAACTGGTTGACCTTGCTCTTACTAATCTCTCTGTAATTGATACGTCCACGCATAACAGTTTTGGTAAGAGTGACCATTGCAAAGTCCTTTTTCTTGTTGGAGATGAAGTTGGCTTCATACCGAGGATTTCCTTTTTTTTTTGTATGACTGTTTTGGTGCTGCCTCGTGCTCCCACAAGGAGCTTGAACTGCTCATCAACTTTACCAACACCTTTCACCCAAACCTCAAATTCACCTGGACCATCTCCGATACCTCTCTCCCCTTCCTGGACCTCTCTGTCTCCATCGCTGTTAACTGCCTTAACACTGAGAACCCTCCCCTCTCCGTGATCAAAAATGGCTTGAAATGCATCTCTTGAATTTCCCACCCCTATCTGCCTTTCATAGGGACTGCTCACTCCGTGACCCCTTGTCCGCTACACACACTCCACCAACCCCACCACACCTGGCACCTTTCCCTGCAACTGCAGGAAGTGCAACACCTGCCCCTAGACCTCCCCCCTCACCTCCATTCAAGTTCCAAAACAAACCTTTCATATCTGGCTGGGGTTCATCTGTACATCATCCAACTTGGTCTACTGTATCCACTGCTCCTGATGTGGCCTGCTCCTCATTGGTAAGATCAAGCGTAGACTCAGGGACTGTTTCGTAGAGCATCTGCACTCTGTACGCGACAAACAACAACACCTTCCGTTCGCCAACCATTTTAACTCCCCCCTCCTACTCCCTGAGTGACATGTCCATCCTGGGCCGCTCCAGTGCCATATCCAACCCTTCCTCTCATCCATGCCTCCTTGACCAGACACAACCTGTCCATCTTCTTCACCACCTTTCTGCCCTAGCCTTCCCGCTGACCAATCCCCACTACCCCCTACCTGCATCCAACCTATCACCACTCCATCTATCTTTCCCCAGCCCCACCCATCCTCCCTCTCACCTCCTTGACCTGACACAACCTGTCCATCTTTTCTCCCTCCTATTCACCCCACCCATCCCACTGACTAATCCCCACCACTCCCTACCTACATTCACCTATCACCATCCCACCTCCCTTCCCAGCCCCACCCCTCCTCTCTCTCTTTATTTCCCAGCTTCCTTGCCCCTCCCCATTTTTGAAGAAGGGTCCCAACTCAAAACATAAACTTTCCTGCTCCTCTGATGCTGCCTGGCCTGCTGTGCTCCTCCAGCTCCACACAGTGTTGTCTCCTTATTTTTGTGTTGTGTAATGGTAGTGTTGCACTAAATGGAATGTATTCAGAGCAGAAGCAGATGCTGACCGTTTTAAAAAATAGAAAATGCTGGAAATTCTCAACAGGTCTAATAGTGTTTGTGTAGAGAGACAGTTAATGTTTCGGGTTGTTATTGCCTTTCACCTTGAGACTGGGGATGGTTGGGGAGTATCCTTCAACTGTTAGTTGTTGATTTGTCCACCATCATTTATGTATAGTTACTATAAAACCTCAGCCAACCATGACTATTGAAGGAAGTTCAGGATTGTAGAAGATTAAAAGACAAGGTTTGTAAAGTTGCCTGAAAAAGCAATAAATCTGAGAATTTGGAGGTTTTCGGGTGACAGCAAAGGAGGACCAAGAAACTGGCAAAGAAGGGGTGAATGGAATATGAATACATTCTCGCAAAACACATGAACGAACTGTAAAAGCATCTGTAGGTGTGTAACAAGGCCATATTTGGCTAAAACTAATGTGCATCCATTAGACAGGCAGGAAAATTTAAAAGAGAGAAATAGCAAAGAAGCTAAATGATTATTCATTATGTCCAAGATGAGTAATCTTTTTTAACCTCAGGGCTGTGAACCTTCGGAATCCTCCTCCATAGAAGGAGCAATTTCAAGCTTTCAGCATATTTGAGGTAACGATTAATAGATTTCTTTGATTTACCAATGGTTTGAATAAAAGGCATTCATGCGTTCAATGAGCCATGATCACTTACACTTCTGAATAAACCTGGTCACAAATGTCTTTTTGCACCTAAATACTGGTACCATCATCCTTGAGACTGGGGATGGTTGTGGAGTATACTTCAACTGTTAGTTGTTGAACTGTTCACCATCGTTTATGACCCTGGATGTGGCAGAACTTGAGCTTGGATCGGAGCAAGCCATTCAGCCTGTCATGCCAACCCACCATTCAATACCATAAAATATAAGAACATAAGTCATCCATTCAGCCCATTGAGTCTGCTGACATTCAACAAGATCATGACTGGTCTGATAATTCTCAACTCCACTTCCATGGATGGTGGTACTTTGTATGGGCACTCATCTCTGTCCCAAGGCATTACTACAGGAATTTACCAAGATGGTATTCTAGGCCCAACCAGCTTTAACTATTACATCAACGATTTTCCCTCTAACAAAATAAGTGGAGATTTTTGCTGATTGCGTGATGTTCAGTAGCATTCACGACTCTGATACTGAAGCTTGTTCCTTTATGCAGCAAGGTCTGGGCTGATAAGTGACAAGTAACATTCATACCATACAAGTGCCAAGCTGGCTTGTTTATTCAAATCTCACTAAACAAAGAAAAAAATCCTTGTGACTGTGACATGCTTTGTTCATTATACTCGTTTTGGAGTGTCAGTGTGTTTCAGTTGTTACTGTTACTGTACAAATATGGCACAATGTCTCCACCTTGTGTCTGTTCTGTATAAAGTTGCTTTTATTTTGTCCATTTGTGTAAGTTCTAAGCATATAAAACATTTCAGTGATTTTGATCAAGGATTTTTAGGACACCATTACAAATTTTACGGGTGATATTTTTACTTTTCAAACCCAGCGCTTTAAAACAGAAGCTGATCTTGATCAGTACTGTAAAACATGTAGTAGGAAGTTGCAAACCTATTTTCTGTATTGACTAATCTCAACAGGAGGAGAATTTAGCCAAAACTATCGCCTATTCTAAGTTACTACTTCAAGCCCACTTTCAGCCCCACTGACTTCCTGTTCCCAACATCTGTTTGTTCATGAGATGGTTATCCCAAGGTTATTCTAACTTTCCTACTTAAAGTCGTCCCTAGTCAAATCTCGCTCAGTCACTAACATAATACATTAATGGTGCTTTAATAGTTAGATTCACCAATTATGATATTTCTTAATTGTCATCAGCATTGAGGCAAAATTATTCACAATATTAATATTAAATACCAGATCAGGTTGAATCATGATGGTGATCTTGTTAAAGATAATCATGCTTTTGCCCATGTACTCACTGCTACTATCACTCTTGAGGCAGGAACTTTGTATTAACAGTTTTTACATACTTTGACATTTTGATCCAATGGCTGAAATATGATAGTGGCCTTAATTTGAAATGCTGGAATCAAATTGTTCCTGTGTCAATCTTTAGTTCAGGTTGGCATTGAAAAGAACAGCTTTGTCCCTGCTTGATGGTTCTACAATTAAATTAGAATTTGAATTGTGAACTTTTCTTGTTTGCATGGGTGGTCACTGAAAATTTCTTCAAGGTTTTTAAGCATCAAAGACAGTCGTTCTTTCCTTCAGCATTGTCCAGCATGCAAATCTCTCTTTTCATTTGAAGCAAATGCAAATACATCAACTAAGTTGCCACTTCTGAATATAATCCAACCTGCTACTAAGCACTCTGAAGTCATTTGCTCCAAAGCTTTTCTACCTCCCTTTCATGCTGAGGTCTCTTTCAGAAAGGGTTCAAGAGAGGGAAGCAGCAGACAGACATAGTGAGAGGGGTGGCCCACAGCTGGGAGTGTTGGGAAGCACAGTCTATGGCAATTGATGGTTTGATTAAACGTTGACTAGTGAACAGATGATGTAGCACTGGGTATTAAGTCGGAAGATCATGTTTCATTCTTGAAATAAAGATATTTAATTTACAAATATTGTTTTATTTATTCCTTTCCTGAGGAGAAAGGGATGTCAGAACTAATATTTATACATTGCTTGTAATGAGAAAATTAGCTTTGATTCCCTCTTTACGCTGTACATTTCAAAAGCCCAACCGCAATGTTTTGAGGACTTGCTGTACTCAAAATAGTAGCTTTGTTTTTCTGTTGTTCACAGCATGAGGGTGACATTGACACCTATTTATTGCCATAGCAAACGTTGTTGAGAGTGGTTTCCTTTAAACTACTTTTAGACGCTGCAAAGTTCTTCTTATTTAGATAAGTTCACTGAGAGTATCGGCAGTAAACACAGGAGGAAACACAGCCTGTGATTGGAAGGCAGTGAGAAGGGAAGTGAGTGAGTGAATTGCTGGGAGTGTGCCAAAGCAGTAATTTTTGTGGGAGCGGGGCACGGGGGAGCTGTGGGCATGAGGGAGAGATTAGAGGGAAGCAGGAGGCTTCATTGGTGGGGCATATTTCAGTTTGAGGAGAGGGAAGGAGAGACTACATGGTGGGGAAGTGAAAGAGACCATCTGTTAAACCTGTCAACAAATACTCTGCTAACTAGAAACCATGATAACTCCATCACCTGAGATTAATTCCTTCATTCCAAATAAATGTTGAATCTCTAGTTTAAGGCTATTATTTTGAGCAATTAATGTATGGGGGAAAAACATAGTGGATACCTCAATGAAAAGAGTGTCAATGTTAAATTTTAAATTTTGAGATTAAGGTCTGAGATGTAGTAGAAAAGTTGGTTAGGCTTTCCAACACTCTGCATATGCCAAGGGGGTAAATTAACTGAAACATCACTTATTTATGGAAAGAGTGTTTGTGGTGACTTTTTTTTTGGGAATGCGTCAGTAATTTTTGATACAAACTACTATTACCATCTCAATCCTATTACCTTGGAGCAATTTGCATATGTTTTTCTAAGAAAGTAATACTTGCATTGGCTGTTGTCGCTTTACTTTATAATGCAGATAGGTACTTTTTTTTTATTCACTCCAGTAATGTAGGTCCCATTGGCTGGGCTCGCATTTATTGCCCATCCCTAAGTGCCTTTGAGAAGATAGTGGTAAGCTGCGTTTTTGGACTGCTGCTATTTATTTAGTGAAAGTACACCCACAACTCTGTTAGGGAGAAGGTTCCAGGATTTTTGACCTTGTGATATTGAAGAAATAACTATATATTTCTAAGTCAGGACAGTGAATGACTTTGAGGGGAACTTGTGGGTGGTAGTGTTCCCATTCATCTGCTGCCCTTGCCCTGGCGTGAGGGGTTATAGTTTGGATAAGGTAACAGATTCCCTGGGGTTTGGCAGCCTAATTGGGTGTGGGAAGAAGGTGTGGGGTACAATAGAGCCGGAGAGTTTGGCTGGGAAGCAATGGGCAGATCGAGTAGAGTCTCCATAGATCTCAGCACAGCTGCAGAGACAGAAAAATCTGATGCAGGCAGAAGTCTTTTCTTCCTTAAAGTCTTGGAACCAGTGGCTGCAGGGGATGTAAGTTTTTTTTTATTTTCAGAAATGGAAAATTCCAAGTAAATAAGGTAGCTTCTGCACTCTAAAATTTGACCAGTCGATAGAGAATGAGATGTTTAAACGTGTGTACTAGAAAGAAAATGTGTGGTTAATGAAATTCTAGAGTTGTTCATTATTGTTAGAGGAAAACACACCCAACAAAAACAGTTTTTCTTTATTTGGTGAGATGTTATTATCATGATGAAAATTGACCACATCCTGCTTGGGTCCAGCAGGTAAAAGCATGTATTAGAGCAAATTCAAGGGAGTAGATCATCTTGGTTACCCAAAGAACTTCTGAAGAATGAGCATGCATTTATAATTCTCAACCTTCTCTGCCCTTGTTATCTTGAGCCTCAACTTTAGGTCACCTAGTTTCCATGGTAATTCAACTGTCTTATTTGGTTTTTCAGTTCCCCTTACCTCTCGTTCTGTGTAGCAACAAGTACTATGCTTGCACAGACCTTAAGGCATAGCAACAGAATAGGGCAATCAGCCTACTGAGTCTGCTCTGCCATTCAGTGAGATTCTGGCTGACCTGATAATCCTCACCTTGGCTTTCCTGCCTTCCTACTACCCCCACCACCACCAAGAATAAGAGGAATACAGCACGGAGCAGGCCCTTCAGCCCAACCCGTCCACGCCAACCAGGTTTTCTAACTAGAATTTGTCCTATTTGCCTGTGTTTGGCCCATATCCCTCTAAACCTTTCCTATCCATGTACCTGTCCAAATGGCTTGTAAATGTTGTAATTGTACCTGCCTCAACCATGTCCTCTGGCAGCTCATTTTCATACCCCAGTCTGTGTGAAAAAGTTTCCCCTCAGGTGCCTTCTTAAATCTTTCTCATCTCACCTTAAACCTATGCCGTCGAGTTTGGACTCCCCTACCCTTGGAGAAACACCTTGGCTATTCATCTTATCTATGCCATTCATGATTTTGTAAACCTCTATAAGGACACCCTTCAACCCTCTATGATCCAGGGGGAAAAAACTTAGTATATTGTGCCTCTCCTTTATAATTCCAACCTTTCGGTCTCAGTAACATCCTTGGAAAGGTACAAAAAAAGTTTACAGTTTAATAACATCCTTCCCTATAGCAGGGCAACCAGAATTACATGTAGTACTCCATACGTGGCCTTACCACTGTCTTGCACAGCTGTATTATGATGCTCCAACTCCTGTACCTAATATTTTGACTGACTGAAGGCAAATGTGCCAAATGCTGCCTTCACCACCCTGTCTTCCTGTGTCATCACTTTGAAGGAACTATGTACCTACATCCCTTCATCTCTCTGTTTGACCGCCTTCCCAGGGCTTTCCCATTAAGTGGAAATCCTGCCCTAATTTGTCTTACCAAAATGCAACACCTCGCATTTATCTGCATTAAACACCATTTGCCATTCCTCAGCCCACTAGCCCAATTGCTCAAGATCACATTGTACGCTTAGATAACCTTCTTCACTGTCCACTATACCACCAATTTTGGTGTCTTCCGCAAAATTGCTATCCATGCCTCCTATATTCTCATTCAAATCGTTTATATAAATGACGAACAACAGTGGAGCCCGCACAATCCTTGTGACATACTGCCTGTCACAGGCCTCAAGTCTGAAAAAGAACCCTCTACCACCACCCTCTGTCTCCTACAGACAAGTCAATTTTGTATCCTGTTGTTGGATCCTCTGGATCCCATATGATCTAACCTTAATAATCAGTCTACCATGTGGTACTTTGTTGAAGGCCTTGCTAAAGCCCATGTAGGCATTGTCTACTGGACTACCATCTATCTTGGTCACCTGTTCAAAAAACTCAATCAAATTTGTGAGGCATGATTTCCCATATACAAAGCCATGCTGACCTAATCAGACCTTGCCTTTCCAAATGCATGTAGAGCAAAACCTTTGATTCTGTCTTGAAATTCTGTCTAGCTCAGCCTGAATATGCTTAATGATTCAGCCTCTCCACTCGTCTGTGATAAGAAGTCCCACAGATGCACTACCCTTTGAGAAAAAATTCCTCCTTTGTAAATTGGGTGACTCCTTACTCTGAGATTATGCCCTCTGATTTTAGACTCTTCCACCAGGGGAAACAACCGTCTCAAGTCCCCTCAGTCTTGTCAGTTTCAATAAGGTCACCTCTCATTCTTCTAAATGCCAATTAGTAAAGGCCCAAACTACTCAATCTGTCCTCAGAAGACAATCCCTCCAATACTGGGATTAATCTACTGAGCTGCCTTTGCACTGCTTCCAATGCCAGTATATCTTTCCAAAACTGTTCAGTGTCCTATATGTGACCTAACTAGCATTGTTTGAACAAAACTTCCCTATTTTGCTCTGTTCCCCTTGAAATAAAAGCCAACATTTCTATTAGCTGCTGAATTTGCAGAGTAGCTTCTTTTGATTTTTGCACGCGGACTCCAGTTCCTCTGCTATAACTTTTGCAGCACTTCTCCGTTAAATAATATTTAGATCCTCTTATTTTTGCCAAAGTGCAAAATGTCACTTTCCCACCTTATTTTCTGAAGAAGGGTCTAGGCCCGAAACGTCAGCCTTCCTGGTCCTCTGATGCTGCTTGGCCTGCTGTGTTCATCCAGCTCTACACCTTGTTATCTCTTGTGCTTCATCTGCCAGGTTTTCCCCTTTTAGCTTAACTTGTCTATAGCTCTCTACTAAACACTGTTAACTTCACCACTCAACTTCCCACCTATTTTTGTCATCCAAAAACATGATGATAGTACATTTACTTTCCTCTTCCAAGTCATTTAATATATTATAAATAATCATGATCCCAGAACTGATCCCTGTGGCACCCTGATAGTTACTGATTGGCATCGTGAAGATGCCCTTCTTATCTCAATTGTCTTCTGTTAGATAGCCAATCCTTTATCCGTGCTATTATCCAACAATATAGGCTACTTAAGATAAAAGCCCAATGTGTGTTAGCTTATCAAGTACCACTGGAAATATAAATAAATTATATCCAGTGTCTATCCTTTAATTATCCTGCTTATTACCACCTCAAAGAATACTTAAATTTGTACAGAATGATTTCTGCTTCATGAAGCCATGCTGACCCTGATCGCATTACATATTTCTAATTGCATTGCTATTGCATTTTTCCAATAGCAGATGTTAAGTTAACTGGCCTATAGTTACCTGTTTTGTTTTTTGTCTGCTTCCCTTTTTAGATAAACATGTTACATGGGCAGCTTTCCTCTGGTACTTCTCCAGAATCTAAAGATTCTTGTAAGTTTACTGTCAGTGCATCCTATAGCTCTGTAGCTTTTTCCTTAATATCCTAGGATATGACGAATGACATCAAGGGAATTTTGGTCTTTAACCCTATTGGTTCCCTTAGTAATTTTTCTTTAGTGACACTTGTAGTATTTATTTTCTCTCCCCTTATTGCCTCTTGATTGTTTATTATTTTTGGAATGCTATTGGTATTTGCAGCTGTCTTGAAAATAGAAAAGTATAAATTCAACTCCTCGTCACTTTTCTGTCATATCTGTTGATTTTGTGATATTGATTTATTTTACCATTGCTATAAATTAGAGTACAACAAATGAAAGGCGAAGTCCTCCTGCAGTTTTGAGCAGTACCTTGAAGCAAACAGCCATCTCTGTGGTCCAGAGAAGAGATTACAAAAATCTCATTCAACAAGAGACTTTGAAGGCAGCATCAATGCAGGGCAGTAAAGTCCTCTGGCTTAAAGCCATATCAGAAGCTACTGGTGGTGTCCTAAGTCAAAGCCAGCCACCAAATGCTACTAGAAATAGCAACCACTTCAAAGGAACACAGACTGGATTAGTATCTGCAGAACCTATCTCAAAATATTGTGGGCAAAAACCAGGAGAGATTTACCATGAGAAGAACAATGCCCAGGAGCAGTTTCAATACAGCTTTCAAGAGTATGAAACTGATGCTGAAAATAATTCTGTAGAACCAAAGCACAACAATGGATCGAATACCTCTCCAGGAAATAATATCAAAAAGCTGAACCCAGAGCTGGTATTTGAGGATGTAGCTGTGGATAATGAGCAAAGCGTAAAAGGAAACCAGAACATCCTTTCAAAAAATGATACTGATCAATGCAAAATATTCATGGTAAGACTTGTGGTTTTCTTGTTTTCTGCCACCATTGTATTACAAAAGACATAAGTTAAGGAGCAATTCTGTTTTTTTTTGTTGGGGTATATTCTTTTTCCAAAGAATTTTCACTGTCTCTTGCTGACCATTCTGTACCTGAAGTTCAAAGTTAAATGTGAGAGAAAGTAATTCACACCGTAATGTCAGATTTTAATTGGGTACAATTTGAAAAGATGACAGATGAGTTAGTTGCTGAGAAACAAAAAGCGATTGTGCACAGCACTAAGGCCAGCAAATGACATTTTTAAGAGAAAATTGGAATGTTACAAAACAAATATACATTTTTTCCACACCCTCAACCCCCACAAAAGAAAAACCCAGTATACTAGTGTAAAAGCCAGGCATGAGACATTTTTTGGCGAAAAGTAAGGGGTCAACTTGAATGTAAGTATTACTTTTGAGGAGTTGAAATCAATGCTGGTTCTTGGGAATTGCAGAAAATGATACTGTCTTGACAGTTGCTGCTGTGGTTCTGAATTCTTTAGGGAATATTATTCCAGGCTATCTCTTTGACATTTTGAATAAGAAAAGAGCATTTATGAAAAAGCCTCACTAGTCTGTGTTCCCTCAACCCCACTCCCAAAGCTAGCATGAGGTGTATATTTTTTAAAAAAGAGTGTTTGCGTAAACGATCAAGGGTTCAACTTTTACATGATCAACTATTATGGAGTATAAACAGTCCTTTTTAAGTTTCAGAATTCTGTGGTTAAATAGAGTTATTTAGAAAACCAGCAATATTCAAGAAGGCAGTGTGCAAAGTATTAGAAAACAAAAGTCAAGTGTTAAATGTGAGGTGAGACCCCAAAAAGTGAGTTGTTATTTGAGAATAAGTATAAATTGGCAGAGATATTTAACAATAATAGCAAAATATGGTGGATGCTGGAAATCTGAAAGAAAAACAGAAATTCTGGAAACGTCAAGCAGTTCTGGCAGCATCTTTGGTGAGAGAAATAGAATTGCAAGTTGTAATTAATACTTTCCAGTTCTGATCTAAATTAGATGGGTACTTAAAGAAAAATGGGAGGATATTGGTAGAGTAGGTAGATATTGATCAAGTGGAGGATCCAGCCCACAAATATTAGTTTGGGCAAATGCTTCTTTTGTGTTTACTTCCCTGATTCTGAGATATTCACATTTTTTGAAAAAAATTATGAACTACATTGAAAAAGCATCCTTTTTTTGAATGGGTATATGTTCCATTTTAGTATAGGCGAAAAGAAAGGTTCTTGTCCCTGATGCTATTGAAGTTGGGCAGTTTTTGTAGTTGTCTCTAATATGCCCACTCTGTCATGTGATTGCACAGCAGCCCAAAAGTCTGTGCATAGGGACTGCTGAATTACGTGCAGTCTTTGTAAATTACTGCATATATGACTGTGTTTTTAAAAAAATGAAAGGAGTGAGCACTTAAAGATCTGTTATGAAACTAGGGGGAACGTTGGTTGCTTCCCATTGTACTTTAAGTGTTTTGTTCTTTTCAGTACTTGTAGAACAGGTCTCATTTCTAGAATGTCACCTTCCACAGGGAAATGAAAATATGAAACATATTTGTGCATTTATCTAGTGTTTTAAATCTGGAATTTTGTGTCTGAATCTGTATTTATAATTTTTGAGGATTACTGGTCAGTAGATACCTACAGAGAGAAGTTATAAAATAAATTGGTGTTTTTCTTAACAATTCAATTGATGCACTGTGCAATCTAGTCTAAATCCTTTCTCAAAGTGCACATATATTGCATAATCTCTGCACTGAAATTTTCAACATAACATATTCATTTTGGTTTATCTGTCCTTTTTCTCATTTTAAACGGACGTTGACCTCTCAGGACGATCAATCTTTTGGAAGCAACTGTTCTGATGTTGAAGATCCCTCTGCTTTAGCTATTTCTCCACAGGAACGTTCTAGTCCAATGTGCAACCTAAAAAACTACAAGACTAGCACTCCATTAGCAACCAAATGTGTAACACATCCACCATTCTTGTACTTGAATTCTTCTTATCCATATTCAGAGTACAGGGCAAGCCCTCCAACCTCTCAGCAATCTTCATCCAGCACACTTTATGAAAATTGGCAACAGCCTAACTGTGAAGAAAGAACAGAATCTTTTACAAGCCATTTAGTAAACTCTTCGCAGCGTTTACAGTCTACTATTTGCAATAACTTGTCTTTTGAATCAATTCGCTGCTCATTACATCAGTTTGAAAACAGCAATAAACTGGATATGACTACAGGTTCCTTCAACTCTTCAATACTCGATTCAGAAACTTTGGCTAATAATTCGGAGAATCATTGTGAAGTGAAGTGGGGATTGAACTACCGAAAGGAAGGCTTTATAGACACACATTGCCATCTGGACTTTTTATTCTCTAAATTGTCTTTTAGGGGAACTTTTTCAAACTTTATGAAGGTTTACAACAGCACTTTCCCAGTGGAGTTTCATGGGTGTATCACAGATTTCTGTGACCCTCGTAGTCTGGTTCTTGGGAATGTATGGGAATATTTACTGGATGAACCACTTGTTTGGGGTGCTTTTGGCTGCCACCCTCATTTTGCCCGTTATTATACAAATTTACAAGAAAAGGCAATTATTCAAGCACTGAGACACCCCAAAGCAGTTGCTTTTGGTGAGATAGGATTGGATTATTCTTATAAGTGTTCAACGGACATCGCCAAACAAAAGCAGGTATGTGGAGGGGAGGCATCTCATGTATTAGTGAATTAATTTATCCTGTAAACATTAAATTATACAAATATGTTAACTAAATCAAAGATGTATAGAAATGTTGCCTTTAAAACCCAATAAATGTTTGAGAATAATTATTTTGAACTGATTATCCAAATCCCTCATTATGGGACAGTAAATTTATCAACTCAGATTATCCTGTTCTTATTTTATGAACTACTCGTGTGTGTGTGTGTATGTACTCACGTATATTCTGGTCTAGCTGGTGAAACCCTCATCCTGTGAATGAAATTTTTAGGAGAAAACTTTGTTCATCCTCGTTAAGGGAATCTGTTTATTTGGTCCATATCCGATATGAATGACTAAACCCTTGGAGTTGAAGCATTACATTGTTTTTCTTCAGTGATTGATTGACTCCCATTACTAACAATGATATGTAATCTGCTTAATGCCTTCGTCCATGTCAGCATTGCCCTTAGCAGGCTTTGCTTGTTAATACACAATTGGACACATGGGTGTTTTTCTGGTGGTGGAAAAATATACATAATCTATTCACAAAGGTATCTTTTTTGTGTTTCAATATATATAATAAAAAAATTAAAGCCGTCATCCATGCCTTTGTCACCTCTAGACTTGACTGTTCCAAATTTCTATTGGCCAGCTTTCCAGCATCTACTTTGGATCAACATTTGCCTTTTGAAATCTTCACAACCTGTTTCTTGACTTAAATGCCCTATGTTTGTTGATACTAACTCCTGATCCAGCACCATTTGAAGTCCTTATCCTTATTTTGAAATTGTTATTGTCCTTGTACTTCCCTGTATGCTGGTTAGAGCTGTACAAGCCTTAGTCAGTGCAGCACCATCATGGCTGTTGCACATTCCAGATTTTAACAGCTGTGTCTTAAGCTATGTAAGTTTTAAGCTATGAAATTCCTTCCTTAAAGTTCTCCACCTCTCTTTGCACTCCTTTTATGCTCCTATGATTGCCTTTACACTCCTTTTTAAAACATAGCTCCTTGACAGATTTTAGATGTCTGCCCTTGCATCTTTTTATAGGCTTATGATTACTTTTTATATTAATATTGCTTTTGTTCAGCAGTTTGGGACATTTGCATTTATATCAGGTCTTAAATATGAGGTTGTTCTGTTTGAAAACTGTGTATCTGAAAAAATGATTGGCTCATGTTGATCGGCTGTAATTTCATTCGCAAAAACAAAAAGAAATTGAGTAGCAGTTGCTGATAATTATGCGTTTGTCACTTTTTAGCCCATCAAAACCTATTGTTTGTTTGTTTGTTAATTCCCTATTACAACCCTTTTTGTGTTGCCTTGCACCATCATCCCTTTTGTAATATGTACTCACCTGCATTCTGTCCTATCTTGCATCTTCCTCTTTCTGTTTTTTCCTCCCCTTACTGTGCTTTCCATGTCTTCATACATAGTTAAGGTCTGTTACATTTCTAAATTAATCTTGCTGTACTGAAAGATCATTTCAGTTTGAAACACTAACCCTTCTCCACAAATGCTGCCTGAACTGCTGAGTATTTTGAAGATTTCCTGTTTTTCAAAAAATGTTTAACTTTGCTGTGCTTGTGGAGAATAATTTAATTAGTGATGTTTATGCAATGTAGAAGTATATAACTTCCACAAAATAGCCATATTAATGACTTCCTTCACACTGATTTTTAACTAATTTCTTCACACAGATCACTGTGTTAAGTTAAAGTTATCCTACACAGCAGAAACATATTTCACCACTCTAAAATAAAATCTCACAACTTGCTCAAATAGATTTGCCATTACTGTTGGGAATACATCTGTTTCTGCCATATGGGGATTGAGCCCGAATTTTCACCTGGGCTGTTGGTGCTGAGGTTTTCAATTGCTGTGGACAAATGTAATGCATGATGCACTGTAGATTCCTTGTTTAGCTTAAAATTTTAAGTTGAAATTGTAACCCAATGCTATTATAATTTCTGTAATAGAGGGAAACAATGAATGAGCTTATGTCTGTACCATACAAATAGAATCCTGGAGAAATTCAGCAGATCTGACTGCATTTGTGGAAAGAGAAACAGTTAATGTTGAGTCTGGTATGAATGTTCTTCAGAACTTCAACTCCATTAGTTGGTGCATGTGCTTTGGGATTGGAATGGAGGAATAAATATTTGATCTTCATGATCATCAATGATTGTGCCTGCTTCATCTCCACAAAATAGGTGACAGCCATTCACAAGTTCATTTCTTTGGTCAGGCATTGCCTCATCAGTCATCTTGTCTGGTTTAAAATTTAAATTTGCATTTAACTAGTCATTTCTATGCCAACATGTCTACTAATCAGGACAGTCCTTTTCGTATGGTATAAAATGTTGCTTTTCTCCTTAAATTGTATTCTTACGAACTGTGCTGTTGAGTACAAGATGAAAAGCTTGAATAAAGTGTCTTAATGTTTCAGCAGTACATGCATTCCGTACTACCAAATGAAGTTTTGACTACATTTTTTTTTCCACAGGTCTTTGAAAGGCAGCTAAAACTTGCAGTGGCATTAAAGAAGCCTCTTGTCATACATGGCAGGGATGCTGATGAAGACTTATTTGAGCTAATGAAAACTAATGTCCCAAAGGATTACAGGATTCATAGGTAAAATGTTTCTACTTGGGCTCTGACTTTGTTACGGGGCTTTTTATTTTTCTCACGTTTAATACCATGTGTGCATCCAAGTTACCGGGATGCATGAACGCTTCAAACTGATTTCTGGATTTATAGTTGTTGTTTTTCTGCATTTTATGCCTAGATCTTGTGCACTGGTCCCACAGGGGTAGATTCTCTTAAGGGATGCTTCTGCATTGATCTATGTTCCTCATGCAGCCAAACAGATGTTCCATTTGGAAATTAAGTCACTGAAATTTCCTGGCTAGCCCTCACAAAAGTCAGATTGTCCACAGTTATCAAACCAATAAAATAACCGAAGAGTGAATAGCCATGCAATCTAAAATGTAATTTCTGGGAATTTTGTACACTTTTGGGTATTTAGCCATTCATTCTCTGAAATGCTTTTGCTGATCATTTGTGGGATTCGGATAGTTTAGTTTATTCTGGATTGAAGTCATTTGTCATACAGATATTTAAATATATAGACTTGCAATTCTATTTTCATATTTATATACCTGAAGAGAATTCTGTTTTTTTTCTCTGCTTTCACTCAATGCATTTACAGTTCTCATCAAAGCAGCTGTGGGTGTGACACATTCCAAGAAAGTTTTTATTCTACTGTTCGGTCTAATACTCTTCAAATTGTGAAAACTTTGTGGAGAAGTCCTGTACAAACATGAGGAAGTAGTGCAATCTTTGCCCTAGCCAAGAACTAGTCCAATTTCCAGTTGAAGGATATGATACAATGCTGCAATAAGCTGCTTGTGTTACAACTTGCTGGCAGAAATATTTTGTTTGTCAATCTGAAAGAGTTAATACTGGGTGGCGCTTGTGGGCAGAACAGCTTAGGATCTTGAATGTGAGTCCGAACATTTGGTCCTCCTCATTGTCTCTGTAACAATGTCCATCATATCAATGTAACCTGTAACTAGTTGTTCACATGCAGTATCTTGTTACCTATAAGAGACTCTTCCACTTAGACTAGGAAGTGGCTTTCTACCACACGAGCAAGCAGGCCCTATAGTTTCCTACACTTAGGTGTCAGTAACCTTCATGAGCCGCCTATGTAACGTGGAATGCAAGGGTGCAGGTTTAATTTGACTTCATACTGCATGGTGCACAACAGCATGAGATCTTCAGACTACATTTTTAGGTCACTTGTCCATACAACACTGTTAGCAGCACGGAAGAGCTAAAAACAAAAAAAAAAATTCTTCAGAAAAAACCCTTGTGACACTCCTCAACGAGGAAGAATACTCCAGTGAATGGTATCATCATTTCAATTAAAAGTCACGATGCAGCAGGAGAATTGCATTGTAAGTATGTTGGAGCAGTCTAGGCTCTGAATTTAGTGGTGAGTGAACAGGCATTGGAGGCTGAGTGAAACTAAAGTGGACTGGGGAAAACTTTAAAACAGAAATCCAGTCTGGAGAAAGCAAAAATTAAAAATACATTACTTGCATCTCTGGAGCATTATCACTATAGCGAGCATGCATCATGAGGTATGGCTACAGAAACTGAAGTATAGGGGCACAAAATAAATATTAATCCAAGGTTGCAGTTTTAGGAACGTTGTGAAGTCATTATTTTAAGGCAATACATTGGGAAAGTTTTAAAATGTCTAAACAGACCTGGCCTAACAGAGACAGAAAGTTTGGGAGATTTTATTCAGGCCATACGAAATGCAATCTTTCATAAGAGCTGAAATAAAGATGGGTGTCATTTTTCGAAGCCCCAAACAATGGAAACGATTCAGTAAGCTGTGATTAAGGTAGAATACAGGAACAGGATCAACCCGTTCAGACCCTTGAGCCTATTCTGCCATTCAGTAGACTGTGGCTGATCTGTAGACTAACTTCATATACCTGTCTTTGGCCCATATCCCTTAATATCTTTGCTTGTTAAGTATTTATCTATCTCAGGTTTAAAATTAATAACTGAGCCAATATCCACTGCAGTTTGCGGAAGATTGTTACAAACATCTATCACAGTTTGTGTATAGACATGCTTCCTGACATCTCCCCTGAATGGTCTGGCCCTGCTTCTCAGACTATGTCCCCTAGTTCTAAGAATCCCCAACCAATCATTATCTGCCCTGCCTTTTTCTGTTTTTATATCTTGAAGACTTTGATTGGGTCACTTCTTAACCTCTTAAATTCTAGAGAAAACAGGCCTAATTTATAAAAAGGTGCAGAGCTGGATGAACACAGCAGGCCAAGCAGCATCATAGGAGCAGAAAGGCTGATGTTTCGGGCCTAGACCCTTCATCAGAAAAGGGGGAGGGG